CACTGAGCTACAGGTGTCGAGCCAACATGCAGAAATTTTAAGAAGCTATTAATCAAAGGCTGATTACCAAATGAAATTTTCAAACCTTCAGTATTTTCCATCTCCCACCCTGTAAATTAATTTTTATCTTTGTTCTACAAAACTACATTAAAACCTCTATTCATAAGGCTCATTTTACTTTAGATATTTTTCTGTGAGTAAATGTCTATGGTTTAATTTGTGTTACTTTTGCTTTGCCCAGTATTTTGAGTGGGGGGATAAATGAATTCATCTGTGGTCCTCGGCCTGGCCGTGGACAGGAACCAGTTGGTCAGTAGCCTGTTAGGGCTGGGGCACACAGCAGGTGGGGAGCCAGTGAAGCTTCTTCTGTATTTACAGCTGCTCCCCATCACCCGCATCCCTGAGCTGCACGCTGTCAGATCAGCAGGAGCAAGCCCTGCTGTCAACTGCTCCTATGAGAGTTATCTAATGCACGGTGATTGAGCACTAGGGAGTGGCTGCAATTACAGATTATCATTAGCAGAGAGATTCGACTGATGCACAGAGGCCATAATATATCAATTGCTTGCACAGTCGTATAAAAACCACCTTCCTCCCACCCCCAGTGGAAAAATTGTTTTTCATGAAACCAGTCCCTGGTGCCAGAGAGGCTGGGACCACTGTCCCAAACGTTCCAGTGCGACACTTGCTGCCGGCCGAGCCTCTCGGAAGGCCTCGCCGTGCTCCAGTTCTTCTCTTGGAGCACCTCAAACTGAGGCACACTGTGACTTCTCCGATGCACTCATTAAACAGGGCGTGAATCTACCTACCAGTCTGCTGGAGGACGGCAGCTCCACCTGTGGGAGCCTGTGGCTGGCTGTCCCCCTGTTCCCCATGCCAACTTTAAGTTTTCTTTCTTGCTTTCATGTTTCTTTTTTCCTTCCTGGCCTCAGATCTGTCTTCTTTTTGTTTTCCCTGGGTTGTTAGCAGTGATTCAGATGAGGCAGCCCTGCTGTGGGCACCTCCGCAGCATCCCAGCCCGATGGGACCCTCCTGGTGGGGCTGGGCTGGGCCTCCTCCCCACCACCGGGTACCTACCCTTCTTTACATGGCCTGGGCTTCTGAACTCCTCCCCCTTTTCCCCTTTGGAGATGCAAGTGTTGGTTGGAAGCGTATACTGGGGACACATGGCTCAGGGAAATTGCCTGGAAAAGAGGACATACGGGATAGACACACATAACACACGCAAAATTAAGGGAGACATCATGTTCATAAAGCTGAAAATTAAAGATTTTGAGGAAATGTGTTTGAGGAAATGTAAGATAATGTTACATAAATAAAAGGGAAAACTTAGAGCTTGAATAACTTACTTCATAGGGAAATTGATGATATTTTAAATCTACAAATAGAATGATTTGTAAGCTAGCCCTGAGTAGGTACAAGCTAAATATAAATAGTCTGCTCGAATGGTTTTGCTAGTGTTAGACCAGAAAGTGTTGGCTGAGCTCTGCTCCTTAGCTCGCTCTGGTCCCGTGCTGAAATGTGTCAGTGCTGTCCCCTCCTGCAAAGTTAAGGTTATTAGTATATATATATTGGGACCTTTAAAGGTAGGTGGTGCAAATGCTAATGTCAAATCCCCAAACTGGACTGACTTAATTAACTTTAAGTAAAATAGTCGCTTATTTTGTTCATTGAAAAGGTTTCTGGTCGTTCTGGTGGTATCATATTATACTTTTTAATATGCGTCGTGATGCCTTGGGGAGGGGGGAAATAGCCATTTACATCAACAGAGCACATCACCTATGCATAATATGCACGTATATAGCGCATTTTGCTGTACGTTGGTGGTTATGTTTTAATGATAAAAATTTACTTAAAGCTTACTTAGGTTGCAAATGTAGCATTTTGTTGCATGTTCACGTGTGAAACCACGGGAACTCTAGTTCAGAGAGAAGTATTGCAAATGGATGTGTTGCCTGAGAAGGGTTCTGGTGTTCGGGATTTTGTTTTAGCCTCCGCACCTTCACCCCTCTGCAGACCCAGCAGCCCTCCTCACCATTTAAAATCATATGCTTTCCTCCATCCCAGCCAGCAGAGCCTTCTCTCTTTGACCTAATAGTGCAGAGGCATGCATACCAGTCGCGTAATACAGGACCTGTTTGTGCACATTGGAATATTTCCTAAATACAGATTTATCCTTCTTCTCGCTCTGTTTTCTTCTTAAGAGCAACATTCTCCTGATGCTCCTCAGGACACTGAGCCTCATCTGTTACTGGGAGCAGTCTTGGTTCAATGAAAGGAAGATGTTCAGGTGATAGAAAGCAGCCAGGCAGGGATGCCCATGCCGTCCAGATCTCGCTGCTTGTCTCCTCTGCCCTGCGCTTGTGTGTTTAGATGAGGGGGCCTCGCTGGGACGTTGTAGTGAAGAGTAGGAGCTGCATCAGCCTGTGTGGGAACCCAAGCACTGCCATCTACCAGTCTGTTTACTAATCTAAAGTGATGTAGATGCCAACAGTTACCCCAGTTTTACAAAAGTGGGAATTGAGGCATGAGGGTAAAGGAGCTGAAGGTCCCATGGCTAACCATGTGGAGGAACTGGGACGTGAATACTTGCCCTTGGCCTCTCTTAGCCTTGTCCTTCAATCTGAAATTTTTGGTATCTAGTATGCTGAATGAATAGTAACCAAATGTAGATTATACTTATTATCAGGCCAGAATTGTAACTGCAGTACAGGACCTTGGGACTTTGTTAACATTGCTCCCACCAGCAGGAAGTTCAGGCATCAGCTAGTTCTCAGAATTGTGTGCCCCACCCCGTGTGACCTCTTGAATTGAATTTACAATTGGTGAAGCCGCCATCCATCCACTCACAGCATATTTCTTCATTTTACTTACATATGACTCTTGAAAACAAAATTAACTCCCTGCCCTTTGGATCCAAATAGTGGCCAGAAGAGATGATCGGAGTGAGACCAAGCAGCCCAGGTGACACTCAGGGAAGCAGTGTGGCGGTTGGGTGTGTGGCCATGTTACAAGATCAGCCCTAGCTGCTGTTTCTTTAGCTCCCCCCTGTTCTTTGTGCTCCTGATGAACCTGTGTTCATCTGCTTAACTCCTTCTATTTATTGACTCGGCCTTCCCTTTAATTTTTTTCAAGCCAGAAAGGAAGAAAAGCCAATACAGGAGGATGAAGATGATGTAGAAACCTGAGGGCCAGAGGAAGGGGAAGCAGCACAGAGTTGGAACTCTAGGAAAGACTTTGAAAAGCTGACTTGAACTTGTCGGGCTGCATTTTTGTTGTTGTTGTTATTGTTTGTTTTTTCAGCAGTTTTTAAGCGCCTCACGTCCCAGTCTCTGTTTCGCTCTTCTAGAACCCAAACCTCCATCACTCTCTTGTTCTTGCTTACTTAAATACTATTTTGATTGTGTTAGTGATGGCCGGCGTGAGCGCTCTGACCCTCTTATGTATCCTTCTATTTTCTTACTGAAAGAAATTCAGCAAGCAGGTGCTGATGTGGCCGACCCCTCAGGAGCTGTAGTTCTGTGGATTTTTCTGGCTACATCTTAAGACCGTCAGTGAGAATAACTAAAACCAACTGAGGGAAGGAAAGTTGGGGGGTGGGTGGCAGGATGTGAGAGAGGAAGCCACCTCACAGTGTGCAAGGTGGGGTGTGCAGGGAAGTGAGCTGCCCGGGGAGAGGGTGCTAGAGAGCCAGGCAAGGGAGACTTCCCAGGCAGGAAGTTCCCTCATGTGAGGGGAACTGGTAAGGAGGCTTTGTGCCACAACTTGGGGCTGTAAAAGGGTGTCAGATCTACTTGGCTAAATTTGGTAACCTTCCATTCAGTGTCACGGCCCTGCCTCTTCTCCAGCTGTCTATCATGGGTGAGCTATTGCAGCACGGGCTTCACATTGGCCAACCCCAGAGAGGACTGGGAGGAGCCCCTTGCAACACCTGTAGTTTCCACAGGGTGCAAGATCACTCTTGAGACTGGAGGCTGGCAGCCCAAGCCCTGGTGCTGTTGAAATACAACTCCTGTTTAAAGAGTTTGGGCCTAATGAGGTAGGCTTGTTTGTTTCTTAAGTGTTAACCTTTATGTTTGCTTAACCTTTGAGGAAAGTTTAAAAAAAAAAAAAGACAGCTTTTTCTTTAGAAATTATACATGCACAGAAAACAGCGTGTTAATTACTGATGCCAAATTTCTGATTTGAGTGAAACTCTTTTATCGTTGGTGAAATGATCAGATACTTTTATCATCAGCTTTTTCCACTTTCTTTCCCTTCCCTTTTTTCTGTTCTAGTTGCTGATATGTGTTCAAGATGAGTGGGATGGGAGAAAATACCTCTGACCCGTGCAGGGCAGAGACGAGAAAGCGCAAGGAATGTCCTGACCAGCTTGGACCCAGGTTAGATTCTTAGCAAGAGAAAAAAATCCGTGTTGTCCACTAGAGACACAGACGTGCTTCTTGGTTTCATCGGGGATTTTACTTTTTCACAATCATGTTTGGTTTTCCTCCCTAACAGTTACATCTTTAAACACATATTAGTTTACATTTGGGGTGTGCTAGTTATTACAGTTTTTGTCTCCTCCTTGACAAGAGGAGAGCTGTATAGTTCTGATGCTCCTTGTGGGTTTGACCTTAACAGTTTGTTTAGTAATCTTTGAATTTTTCACATTTTCTTTTCTGTTAGATCACAGAATGTTATAACAATAAGAAGGTCCTTTAAAGAAAAAAAAAAGGTCCTACAGTGAAAGGATTTGCTAATAATTTTTTCATTCTGTATTTTAATTTTTTTTTTTTTCCGGCGTGAAATGTTAAATCCACTTGCTTGTGAGCTGAGTGCCAAAAATTGTGGCTCTAGTTTAGTGAATGAAACAAATAATTTGAAAGCAAATATAAACCATTTCAACTTATAAATTGTCAATGGAAGTGTAAAGTGTTACAGCCTCTATGCAGGATAATTTGACAGCATCAAAATTATAAATGTAGAGTCTCACTTTGTGACCCTCGGTAGAGTGCTGTGGCGTCATATCTCACAGCAACTTCAGACTCCTGGGCTCAAGCGATTCTCTTGCCTTACCCTCCCTAGCTGGGACTATCCGCACCCACAACAACGCCCAGCTATTTTTAGAGACGGGATCTCCATCTTGATCAGACTGATCTCAAACTCTGAGCTCAGGCGATCCGCCCGCCTTGTTCTTCCAGAGTGCTGAGATTACAGGCGTGAGCCACTGTGCCCGGCTGCGTATTCTGTTTGAACTAGTCATTCCCCTTCTAAGAGTGTTCCTATGGCATATTTTCACATATACAAAATGATGTATATATGAGTTTACTCTTTTACTGCATTGTTTATAAATTGTTACAATTTTTTGCTTAGGAAAAACAGAAACCCAAATGTTTGTAAGAAACAACTCTGGTACATCTATAATCTGGAACACCATGCAACTATGAAGACATTCTTTATGGGTTAATATGACCAAAAAAAATCTCTTAAGAATATGGACAAGGCTCGGCACCTGTAGCTCAACAGGCTAGGGCACTGGCCACACATACCCAGGCTGGCAGATTTGAACC